ACTGAAATGCTAACCCACGGGAGACTTGGATAGTATTTAATGTTGTCCAGAAGAATTTTACAGAAAATATCAAGTGTTTTCATCTTAGGTGGTGTAGTGCTTGAAACACTCAAATGTGAACCAAAAGTTCAGTAGTTTGAATCTACCAGCTGCTTCAAGGGAGAAAGAGAGAGCAGACTCTTCCCATAAAGATTTACATTAGAAACTCTTTGAAACAGTTTTTTCCTATACAATTGCTGTGAGTCAAAATTGATTCAATGGTTGTGTGTTTGTCTGTTTTAATAAGAAGATAATACTGCTAATCTTGCATTATTCACTGAGTACACCAATTAGTTTTTTAATGGAGGTACATTAATAATAATAACATAAATTCTTGGTCTTCATTACCTTCATTTCCTTTACTTGAACTGGTTTTGCCCCTGTCAACACAAATTTAATTAGTTTAATTTATGATGAAATTTGCCTAGCAGGAAGAATTTAGATATGTATTCAAATTGTCAGATTTTAGAAGAAAAGTTATCCTAAGCATTCTGGTCATTTTTGGTGGAGTGAAGGCCTTTCTATAAAGTTGTCATTGGTAGGATTGTAGACCACTAAGCATGGTATAAAGACCACATGTATACACATACTCACAGAGTAGAAATATTGTGATACTCTGACAAAGAAATGTCATGTTGTGATGTTTAGTGAAAATAAAAATTTTTATTATGATGAGAAATTGATTATTAGTCTATACTTGAGTCTTAAAAATAATCAGAACTCTGTTTTATGACTAATTTCACTATCCCAGCTTAAATATGCATAAATACTAAAAATAATCTACTAGCATATACTTACTCCTCTCTAACATTTACAAATCAAAAGGGGTGTGGAGAAGGACACTAAAGCAACTGAAGAAAGGTGGGAGGTGGAAAGTGTGTTGTGGTTATGTGCCATCAAGTTGACTATGACTCATGAGACCTTGTGAACAATGAAGCTTGCCCTACCCTGAGCCAACCTCATTATTCTGACACATCTGACCCCACTGCCACAGTCACTGTCAATCCATCTTGTTGAGGGTCTTCCTCTCTTGCACTTCCTACCCTTCCAAGCCCGCTATTGTTTTTCTCCAAGTACTGGCCCCTTCTGACAGTGTGCCCAAAGTATGTGATGTGGAGTTTCACCATCCTTGCCACCAAGGAGCACCTTTGTCATGATGCTGCCTATCGGTCTCAGGTGGTGATGATTTTTCTTTCCTTGATGTTGAGATGCAATTCATATTGAAGGCTGTAATCCTTTACCTTCTGCAGTGAGCACTTCAAGTCCTTTTTACTTTTGGTGAGTAAGAGTATATTACCTACATAATGCAGGTTGTTGATGAATCTTCCTCCAATCCTGATCCTGTAAAGTCCAGCTTCTAAAATAATCTGTCCAGCATGTAGACAGAAAAGGTATGGAGAAAGACACATCCATGATGTACTCTTTTCTTGATTTTGAACTCCTTGCTCTGTTTGGAAAAAGAGGTAGAGTTGGCTAAATGAGAATTTCTTTGTTGAATTCTTTCTCATTACCCAAATGGATAAGTGGTTTGTGATTATAAAAAGAATTATGAAGCTTATTTCTTTGAAAGAATAAAGAGGCAAATCTTTAAGACTCTGGATTTGTACTGCTGGCAAAGTTTGTTATTGTTGTTGTTATATGTGCTATTAAATCATAACCAACTCACAGCTGACCCTCAAGCAGGTTTCCAAAAACTGTAAATTATATGGGAGGAGATTGCCTATCTTTTCCCCCTCAAAGCAGCCTTGGATTTGAATCACCTGCCTTTGGGCTGGCAGTGCAATTCCTTATGTGCTCAGCCACCAGACCTCGCTAGTTTTTTTTTTTTTAATTATCAAAATTAGTTTTGACGATTACTTTTATAAGCTAAATATTTTTCAGTATAAAGTAATTTTATGTTTGTTATTTTTAGATCCCATCGAGTCGACTATGACTCAAATCAACCTTACGGACAACAAATTTGAAACCTGCCCTTCTCTGTGCCTTCTTAACATCTCTGCCACATTAGAGCCCATTGTTACAGTCACAGTGTGAATCCATCTGATTGAGGGTCTTTCCATCCTTTACTGACCCCCCACTTTTCAGAGCATGATATTCTTTTCCAAATATTGACCCCTTTTAACATGTCCAGAGTATGTGAGACAAAGTTTCACCATCTTCCCTCTAAGGAGCGCTCTGGCCCCCTCTCCAAGATGCATTTGTTTGGTTCTCTTGGCAGTCTTCAGAATATTTAGTGCTCTACTCCAGCACCACAACTCAAAGGCATAGATTCTTCTTCTGTCTTCTGTATTCAACTATCAAGCTCTCAGATGAGAATTGAAAAGACCATCACTTGGCTCAGGTGCACCTGTCTTTAAATGGACATTCTTCCTCTTCATTTTGGTGAGGCCCCTGACTTTCTCAGTGCAACATGTCTTTTAATTTCCTGACAGTTAGTACCAACATTGTTGATTGTCAACTTAAGTAACATTAAATAACTGAAAATTTCTATCTTTGATCTTTGGATCATGATATTGCCTATTGGCCCAGTGGTGAGGAGTTTTGTTTTCTTGATGTTGAGATGTAATCCATATTGAAGATCCTTCATTTCATCAAGTGTTTGAATTCTTTGTTGCTGTTAGCAGGCATCTGCATAATGCAGTTTGTTGGTGAATCTTCCTTTGGTCCTGATGTTACATGATTTTATTAAGTCCAACTTCCCAAATGATTTGTTCAGCATACAGATTTAATGAATATGGAGAAAGATATAGCTCTGATACATACCCTTATTGATTTTACACTTGATCTTAGCCAAAAGGCCGAGAAGCGATCCCTTATTGATTTTAAACCATGCACTGTTCCCTTGCTCTGTTCAGACAATAGCTTTTTGGTCTGGGTATACGTTTCACATGAACGCAATTAAGTGTTCTGGAATTCCCATTGTTCTCAATGTTAGCCATAAATTGTTATAATCCACATAGTCAAATGCTTTTACATAGTCAATAAAGCACAAATAGACATCCCTCTGGTACTTTCTACTTTCAGCCAAGGTCTATCTGGCTTCTGCAATGATATCCCTGGTACCACAGCTTCTTCTGTATTCAGCCTGAAGCTGGAAGCTCTGTCAATGTTATGTTTTAGCAATTTTTTAAATAATCTTCAGCTTGATTTTACTTGCATGTGCTATTAACAATATTGATCATTTACACATTCCGTTGCATCATCTCTTTTAGGAATAGGAACAAATAATAGGTCTCCTCAAGTCCATTGGCCAGGTAGTGGTCTATTAAATTTCCTGACATAACCTGGTAAGCATATCCAGGGCTCTGTCTTTTCTTTGAAATATATAAATTGATATCCTATCAATTCTGGGATATTATTTTTCTCCAGTGCCTTCAGTGCAGCTTATACTTCTTTATTATCATTGGTTCCTGATCATATGCTGCTTCCTAAAATGGTTTGTGCCAGGCAGTTCTATTTTACACAGTAACTCAGTGTATTCCTTTCATATTCTTTTGATGTTTCCTGGATCATTCAGGATTTTGCCCAATGTCATCTTTTAGTATTGCAACTCAAGGCTTCAATTTGTTTTAATTCGTTTTTTCAGCTTGAGGAATGCCATTTTATATAGTGAGTTACTTAATCAGAAATTTAATTTGTACCACAGATGTCTCTGATATCTTTAAAACTAGGGCTCTAGCTCTTTAAACACAGTGATTACTCCTAAAATATATGCAGGGTTTATTTTTTCTGTGAGGAGTCTTGATGGCCTAGCGGTTCAGTGCTTAGCTGCTGACAGGTAGGCAATTTGAACCTGTTTGCTGCTCTGTTGGATAAGAAGGTGACAAATGATTTTTGTAAAGATTCTATTCTTGGAAATCCAGTAGGGCAGCTATGCTTTGACCTACAGGTCACTATAGGATGGAATCAACTTGTTAACACACAACACAACATATCATCAGCTATTGATGTCAGTTACATATACTTGTACATACTTATGTTTTACCAAACTATTACAAAAAATACAATAAACCAGCAAAATTAAGAACTTGTGTAAAGCAGACAAATCTTAGAGAAAGAAAACTCACATATTTTCCACTAAAATGTGCTATAGAAAAATGGTATCTTTACTCTGTCAAAAGAGTCCTGGTGTCATAGTGTGGAACACATTGTGGTGTTAACCAAAAGGTTGGAATTTTACTCCACTCTCTGCTCAGCATGAGAAAGATGGAGAGTCTTCTCATGGAGAGTTGCTATGGGCCAGACCGACTCAATCGCTCAGTCACAATGAGGAGTAGAATAAGAAGGAGCACTCATAGCAGTAATACCTCCCTGTCAAAGGGGAACAACTTGTAGGATCTGGGGAACAAGGCAGCTCATCAGGTTATAGCTCCCAGTGTTTTCATTGTACTTTACTCTTCATAAAATGAAAAGAAACTGTCGTAAAACCTGAATCATAACTGACACTTATCTGTGTCTTTATATTAAAAGGAAAAAATTTAAGAGTTTCTAGATCTATTCATTGACAAATAATTAAGGTAAGAATATATTTTGTTGTCAGTCTCTTGATTTGTGAAACAGAATGAAATTGTGTTTAGTTTTTTGTTTTGAATTTGGATTTAACTTCCTAGAATGAACCTGACGTTTTTTCACCTGGCATTTATATTCTCATTTCCTAATTTTAACATCATCTTTTCCCCATAGTGGTGGGTTTGAACTGTTGACTTTTTGATTATCAGTGAAGGGCTTATCCCCTTTGCCTCTAGGATTCTTTGAACTGTTTATAGTTCTGTATATATTACCTGTGTGTATTTCCAAGCTTATGTAAACTAAAAAGAAGGTGAATTGAACTGAAGTTAATTTTGTTCATCTTTATAAAGTTTAATTGTGAACCTTTGTGAAGAGAAATACAGTAGAGTTTGTATTATTAATCAGATATAAAATCTTATTTGATAATATTTCTTTTCTTTTTTCCTTTGTAGAGTATGTGTGTAACTGCTCTAGAATTGGAAGCCTGGATGTGAATCGCTGCAATCATACCACAGGACAGTGTGAATGTCAGCCAGGCTATCAGGGACTTCACTGTGAAACCTGCAAGGAGGGCTTTTACCTGAATCAGACTTCCAGCTCTGGGCTCTGTCTACCATGTGACTGTAGTCCAGATGGAGCCCTCAGCAAAATGTGCAACAGGTAAGCAGAAGAAGGTGGAGAAGGAGTTAGTTTAACTAGAGACAAGAAGTGCTTGTTTTCAAGGATCAGACTAATTTTAAAATAAAGAGAGATCATCTAATGAAAACTAAACCCCTTATTGTTGAATTGGTTTTCATAGAGATCCTACAGGACAGAGTAGAGTTATCTCATAGTTGCCAATCTTTACAAAAGCAGACCGCCACATTTTTCACATATGGTGTGTGTGTTGAGTTTGAACTGCTAATGCTTCAGTCAGCAGCTGAAAGCTTAACCGCTGTGCCACAAGTGCTCCACAAAGAAGAGTCAGATTTACAAAATATTTTGTGTTGTTTTATTCCTTCACTTTGTTTGCTATACTTAGCAATAAGATTAAAAAGGCTTCCAATTTAGTGATTAAGTTCTTCATAAGCACCTGAGTCATGACCAATATGCGAAAAAATTGAGGAGCCCAGTCTGATTTCTGGAAGCACTAACTTCTAGACATTTCCAGTAGAAATACTCTTTATTTATTTACCTATCAGTGGAGTTTAAGCAAACTTGGTCTCTGTGTTACTTTTCCTTTGACAAAAATTCTAGATGTGTTTCTTTGGACAACTGAAGCTTCAAGTGATAATGTCCTAATTTCTTTAACTACTGGCAGAAAGACTGATTTTAGTCTATTCAGTATATTTTGGGGACCAAAACAAAATTAATCAGGAATTGTGTAGAAATTATCTTTGATAGAATATATTGTTTAGAAATGACTTAGTTTTAGAGGAGAAATGCTGTATAATCTGAGGATTTGCTATTTAGCACAGTAATATTTGGTGAGCTCTAGTGGCCTAATGGCAAGGAGTTGTGCTGGCAACACAATGGCACCCAGTTTGGATCCACCAGCTGCTCCTTGGGAGAAAGATGGAAAGTTTCCTCCTGTGCAATTTACAGCCCTTGAAAATCTGCTAGAGGAACAGCTATGAGTCACCTCCAACTCAACTGCACGTGGAAAGAACAACAACAGTAAAATTAACTACTCTTGACTTCATATGAGGCTTTTAGTTTTTTATAGGCCCCAAGTGTCAAGAAAACCAAATAAGCAATGCTATGAAATGAAATTAAATAAGGCAGCTTGAAATGACAAAGCAAAATATTACAATGAAATGTGCAAGGAGTTGGAGTCAGAAAACCAAAAGGGTCGAATTCGCTCAGCATTTCTTAAGCTCAAGGAACTGAAGAACAAATTCAAACCTCTAGTTGCTATAATCAAGGATACTTTAGGCAGAATATTAAATAATCCAGGAGGTATCAAAAGAAGATGGGAAGAATATACTGAGTCATTGTATCGAAAGAAATTGGTAGACACAGAAGAATTTAACAAAACAACATATGAGCAAGAGCCTATGTTGATGAAGGAAGAAGTTCAAGCTGCTTTGAAAGAAATAGCAAAAAATAAGGCCCCAGGAATAGATGGTATACCAATTGATATATTTCAGTTAACAGATGTTGCCCTGGATGTGCTCACCAAGTTGTGCCAAGAAATCTGGAGAACAATCACTTGGCCGACTGACTGGAAGAGATCTATATTTTGTTCCCATTCCATAGAAAGGTGACCCAACAGAGTGTAGAAACTACAGAACAATATCATTGATTTCACATGCAAGCAAGATTCTGCTGAAGATTATGCAAAAATGACTGGGACAGCACATCAGCAGAGAACTGCCAAAAGTCCAGGCTGGGTTTAGAAGGGGTCCTGGTACTAGGGCTAATGTTAGATGGATCTTGGCAGAAAGCAGGGAGTACCAGAGGAATGTCTATCTGTGCTTCACTGATTATGCAAAAGCGTTTGACTGTGTGGATCATAACAAACTGTGGCTGACTTTGAGAAGAATGGGAATCCCAGAACACTTGATCATGCTAATGTGAAACCTATATTTGGATCAAGAAGCAGTCGTCAGAACAGTGAGGAAACACTGCATGGTTCAAAATTGGGAAGGGCGTATGCCAGGGATGTATCCTGTCTCCATACCTTTTCAACCTGTATGCAGAACAGATCATCTGGAGGCTGAACTCTATGAGGAGAAATGTGGCATCAGGATTGGTGGAAGATACATAAACAGTCTGCGTTATGCAGATGACACAGCCCTGCTTGCTGAAACTGAGGAGGACCTGAAGCGCTTGCTGCTGAGGGTCAGGGACTGCAGCCTTCAATATGGATTGAGGCTCAATGTCAAGAAGACAAAGATTCTCTCTACTGGACCAATTGTCAGCATCAGGATGGATGGTGAAGAGATTGAGATTGTTCACAGCTTTAGTTTGCTTGGCTCCATGGTCAACACTCTTGGCACCAGCAGCCAGGAAACCAAAAGGCGTATGGGAAAGTCTGCTGTTAGGGACCTCTCTAAAGTACCCAAGAGCAACAGTGTGTCTCTGGAGACAAAGGTGCCATGGTCTTTGCAATCACTTGTTATGTATCGGAGAGCTGGACCATGACTAAGGAGGATGGAAGGAGAATTGATGCTTTTGAACTTTGGTGTTGGAGAAGAGTGCTGAAGGTGCTGTGGACTACTAAGAGAACCAACAGATTCATCCTGGAGAGGGTTAAACTGGGCTGCTCCTTGGAGGCAAGGATTCTGAGCCTTCATCTGACATACTTTGGACATGTAAGGAGGGACCAGTCCTTGTAGAGGGACATCATGCTTGGGAGGGTGAAGGGCAGGCGCAGGAGGGGAAGGCCCTCTGGGAGATGGATTGATTCGGTGACTGGAGCAATCAGGATGAGTGTGTCGGAGACAGTGAGATTGGCACAGGACAGAGCAGAGTTTAGAGCTGTTGTACATAGGGTCGCTATGAGTCGCAAGCAAGTCGACGGCACATAACAACAACAACAACAACATGAAATGAAAAGAGTGAATAGAAGCTTGGTATGTATCAAAGATCTAACATTTAGCAGTTCTTTTTCTTAGAGAAGTCATTAGTTTCTCCAAGTCTTAATTTCTTCTCAAAGTTGTTGAGGTTAAATTAATTGGTATACATAAAGTGCCTAGTACACATCATTCACTAAATTCTCATTTGCTTTTATTTCAAAGTAATATTGTTGGCTTAAAGAAGGAAAAGCTTTGTAAGTTTGTCTAGCACCTTAGAAAAAGTATTTTATACTTTGTTGTTGTTATTGTTGGTAAAGTCAGAACTAAACCATAGCTGACCCCCTCTGGCAGGTTTCCAAAGGCAGTAAATCACAAGGGAGGAGCTTACCCATCCTTCTCCCTCAGAGCAGCTGGTGGCCTCTAATTGCATGATTTGGGATTGTAGCACAACTTCTTGCTCCCCTCTTATAACAGAGCTCCCACTTTATACTTTAGCTGTAGATATTTTGAACATTTAATAAATCATATTATATTAGAAAACTTAAAAAATTAGTAATAAATTTCATTAAAAAGCTTATAATTGCAAATTCAATAATGATTTATTTTTTGATGCTTGGTGTTTTAACGTAATTATTTATCTTTGTCCTTGTAACAACTCCTAGTAACCAAAGCTAGAAAGACAGTAAGTGGTAGAGTAGGAATCGCAAATCAAATCTTACAGATCTAACTTCGATATCTTTACTACCACATTGCATGGCTTCTGTAATAAGAACAAATGTATAATGAATCTGTTCTTTGCGGGTAAGAATATAGTAGTTGCTTTTCTGTTGTTTCTTCCACTCCCCAAACATGTCTGTACACTTTATATTCAGAAGGTTCACATTCCATACCATTTTAAAAGATGAGCTATGGATAAGTTTGTTCATTCTAGTCTTTCAAGGAATGTATGTCTTTTAGATTAGTAATTTACAAAGACATCTGCCTTGAGTAATTTTGGATAATAGAAATCATTTACCAATAGGTCAGTTACCTTAATAGAGGACTGAGAAATAAATAAAATAGTAAGAGAATTTAGGATGTGGGGGAAACAGCAATACTAATACTTATATAGGGTCTTTTTTTTTTTCAAAATTCTTCCACAATTATGTCTGATTTATCTTTTTTCGTAAGAATTCATGGCATTAAGTGAAATAGTTCAAAATAAATTCAAAACTCAAACTCACAGCTGTCAAGTCTGCATTGATTCACATCTGCAGCTTACTTTCCAGTGGGTTTCAGAGGCTGTAAATCACATGGGAGGACATTGCCCATCTTTTTCCTACAGAGCCATTGGTGGATTTGAACAAAGGGTTAGAAGCTTAATTAGCCTAACAAAATAATGAAAATACACGAGACTAGGAATCTAAAGATCTGCAACATTAAATAAGGTAATAGGGGGAAATCTTGCATTGCATTTCAAATATAGCTGAAAGAATGTCAGAATATCAAGTAGACAATTTGAAAGCAAACCCAATGTGAACAAAAACAATGTGCATCAAGTTACTGCATACAAAGCAGCTTTTAACGGCTAATAGTAATTTCTTTTGATAGAAGTGATGTTATTTAGCTCTTTCGAGATCTGCTTTCATCGGGCCCCCAGGAACCTCTGCTCGTCTTGGGGTGCGGTGGGGTGCACCTAAGGAGCCCGAAGGAGCAGGGGGTTCTGAGCTCAGGGGCTCCGAGAGGCGGAGACTGAGCTGTGACTTCACTTCTCTCCTCCGGGTCGCAGCCATGGCTGTGCGCTACCCTATGGCCGTGGACCTCAACAAGGGCCACAAAGTCACCAAGAACATGAGCAAGCCGAGGTACAGCCGCCGCCGCGGTCACCTCACCAAGCACACCAAGTTCGTGCGGGACATGATCCGGGAGGTGTGTGGCTTCGCACCCTATGAGCGACGTGCCATGGAGCTGCTCAAGGTCTCCAAGGATAAGAGGGCCCTCAAGTTCATCAAGAAAAGGGTGGGGATACACATCCGTGCCAAGAGGAAGCGAGAAGAATTCAGCAACGTCCTGGCCGCCATGAGGAAGGCGGCTGCCAAGAAAGACTGAGTGTGCCCCACTGTCCCCCAAAGCCCATCTGATGTAATAAAGTGTAACCAACAGTAAAAAAAAAAAAAAAAA